AAGGTTTTACTGTCTCTTGTTTTTGCCATAGGAGACAGTGTAGCTTTCAAGTAGCAAGAAGATCGATGCTTTGTCCCGGAGTTCACATTTCTCACTTCAAGTTCACTCAGCATAAAATGAAAGAGCGCAGTGTTTGATGGAGATCAAAATAATGGACACAAAGCAGATGAGGGCTAGAAATAGTGAGATCCTGTCCTCAAATGCCTGGATAATCCTTTGTGATAAGCAGATGAACAGTTGACCTGAATCCTTTTTGCCACTTTAAAAACTATTACAAGTCTTGCAGTATCAGAACGACTTTCCCACACAAATGAAGTAGCAAGAGATGTAATTAAAGTTTTGAAATGAAAATGATGTTAACAAGAACAATGAAGTGGTGTTTTTAATTAAATTTAATTTATACCGTTCTTCAAAGCCCCATGATTGAAATTAATAGCATTTCAACTTTACACTTAAAATGGTCATTCTTCTCTAAGGTTGTTTACATTTTAGGGTGTATGTAGGGACTTTCAAAGAACTAATACACAATGAGATTACAAGAAATTTTATTTCATGTTAAAACACACCCTGAAAGATATTTCAGAAAGATTACAGGTATATATTAAAAAATCTTCGGTCCCTCATTCAATATCATAATGGAAGAGCCATAATGTGTGTTAATTCTGCTTTAAAATTAAGTGGTGCACCCCGCAATTTTTTAGAGGGGGAATGGCTATAGGTTTGAAACCAATCTACTTGATGTTTTCTTACAAAGTATTTTTATTTATGCAGAATTTAAAAAGTATTTGTAGTTGATAATTTATATTTGTTTATCTCGTAATCGAGTTACTGAATTACTTTCATGTACTTACTGTAAAAAATTTGTAAAAACTGTGAATACATATCATTAATGTCTAGAGGCTGAGTGAAGCCTCATGAGCCCCCTCTTAGGATTAATGATTGATAATAAATTAACAATTGGATGGATAATTCAGCATATTCATGTCAGAACTGCCTACATGCAAAAACATGACTACAACAGCATTTAATGGAAAATCTAACAAAGAGGAGATAGGCAATAAAATTGGCATTTTAGGCTGAAAGTAGACTAGACTACAGTTACGTAGCTTTTTTATTGCGTCTTCTCTTAAAAACATTTGCTTGCTTCAAAAGTTCTGTATTCTCATCTTCAATGACTGGTGTTGGCTCCAGTAACCTCTTGGGTAAAAATACTAGTCCCATAAGTGTTATTCCTGCAACAAATATTTCAATACGTTTCATGTCAATTGACTTATACTGATCTGTCTACCCTTAAAAATTCTAGAAATATTTTAGCACTCACCATTCAATATTGATTGAAAGACGACATGAAAGGTGGGAGCAATCGATTGAAAGTAAAAAACTTCAGAGAAATGCAACAGAATTGTAATCAATAATGCAAATTCTCCTAAACTGACAACACTGAAAAGAAAAAAATATATAATCATTGGGAAGTGCTTAACCCAATAGTCTCAAATACATCTCATTGCCACTTACGGTTTATAGTGTATAAACAATGTGCAGTGAATTAATGCCACTGCTTTTAATATCGAGTACACGCCGAGAACTCGCGGAAGTAAGGCATCTTCTGAAAAATTCGCATTCAAAATATCGGGAACGATTCCCGTGCAATAATAACTAAAACTTAACGGAATATTAATACAAATTAAATTACTGAAAAGTAATATTTATATACGAGAAAAAATAGCTTTCACCCTAACCTTTCGCACGCACTCAACCAACCTGATAACAATCCCGTAATTTCTCCGAGGTATGAGCGTTTCTCTATGTAAGACCTAACAGCATTACCCAAATCCATAAACGCTACAAATGCAATCCATCCTCTAAAAGCATATAATGCTTTTTGATCCATTCTTACTTTCTCAATTCAACCTAACCGCCATCTTACCACTGGTCTACCCCAGAGAGTATATAGCAGGTATACAGCCTTTGCCCCAACCAGAGAGAATATATTGGTATGGCTTCATTTCCCTGCTGCTTATTGACTTGGTGTTGCACTTGCAGTTTGTATGCATTTCGTGTGTGTTCGCTATGTGTCGGTGTCGGTTCGAAGTAAGTAATTCTGTAACTCAAGAAAACGTGCGCAGATGATCTTCTCCCCATACGTCACATACAGTTTTTACTTTTTTATTTTTTTAACCAAATCGGCTTTCGTGTTGCGCTACGCCCTCAGAATATCCGGGGGGACTGCTTGTCTGTGTCATATATGGTGAGGACATGGGCTAATTGTTTAAGTGTCGCCGGTGCTTCGTTGGTTTGAAGACAGGCTTTGTTAAAAGATAATCATCTCAAGCATTGTGTGGAAGACCCGATATCAAATTCCTTACTCAGTACTTCAAGCCGTTGCCGAAAGAATTGAGGAAGGAACTTCATATCGAGTCCTTCATTCAATGCTTAAGACGGCTGTCGCTTAAGGAAGCCTATCCATCTTTGGCGTAGCCTATTGGCACGGTCCCAACCCTCATGCTTTATAAAGGTTTGGTTTCTAGGGAGATGGCCAGAATGACGTCACAACTGTTGGTGGGGAGAGTCGTGGGTGGCATGTTCTTGTGTATGTATAGACTAACGAACGTAAGAAAAGAAAGGATTGTAATCGTGCTCCGGAAAACGGCGAATTTTTTACCGACACAAAATAAGGTGGCCATATTTTGAAATCATCAAAATAGGACATTTTAGCTTTTGTCGCAACTATAAAAGGAGCAAAAGAGGACGTTAAACACTATTGTACCACAAATGTGTAATTTGAAAATTAAGCTTAAATTAATGGATAAATAGTATAACTTTCATAAAGTAGTGGCATTCAATTGACGCAAAACAAAGAATTACTTAGAAAGAAACAAGATTCTTTTTTAAATTGCATTTGTTTAATTTGCACTTTCTTTTACTACGAAGTAGGTCAGTATTTTTCAATGAAGATTGCAAACAAGTTGCACAACACTGGCGGATCCAGAAGGGGACGGGGGACATGGCAGCCGTGGCTACGTCCAAAAGACCTAGAGTTTTCATTTACCTTTCTTTATTTGGCACAATTTATTTAAATGTTTATTTACATTCGAATTATGTAATTATTTAAGCAATATTATTGTATAATATCCTATCTACAGTCCCCCCCCACTCCCCCAAAAAAATGATCGGCTGGATCTGCCCGTCGCACAGAAACTCTCAACAGCAGCGAAGGATCGGATTATTGAATTTCTCCATAACGATATCGTTAGCGATAAAGCATGTACAAGTTGAAACGTAGTCATAGCTGCATTTTTTCTTCGTAGATACCACTACCGACTTTCTAAACACTCTTGTTACGTGGAACCAGCACAATATCTTGTCATACTGATTTTTCCCAACAAATGTGAAGCAAACGGAATATATTATGATAAATTTAATATTGTTCACGGCGTTTTGTACTGTCAAGACATTGTCTCAAAAAAGGTAATTTCAACTCCTCGTTTTCCTGTCAAAAAAATTCCAAAATAATAGTATGTTCCTGCTAATAAGGGCCGTGTGATTAATTTAACGCAAAAACTCTTAAGGCCGGGCTCAGGTAATGAAAAAGTTAATAAATCGAGTTGCTAAATCGATTGACGATAAAACGAAAATCGATTGACGGAAAAATGTCTGTATGTCCATCTGTGCATAACGCTAGCGCATAAACCGTTCAGCAGATTTTCTCCAAAATTGACAATCCCCAATCGGGTGCTTCCCAGGAAGGGAGGGATCCCCGGCAACCCGTGTTTCTCTGAAGGGGGCAGGGCCCCCCAGGTCCCGCCGTCCCGGCAGGCGGGTCACCGCCGCCCGCGGAAGTAGGGTAGCCAAATGTGTTGCGAGCTCTTTCTCCACCACGGAATTTCCCCAAATAACATCTCAAATGAAACAAAATTCCCCAACTTTGAAACGAAAAATATTCTCCAAATGATGGACCAACGACATGAGCTGACCCTGACAATTCCATTGGCCGTCCTCGTAAATTCAGATAAACAAACCATTGTCCTTTGAGCTGCTCGTAGTCATATCTTGATTTTCTCATGTTTTTTTTTCTTTCTCTACGCCTGTCGTTTATTTCCAACGGGCTAGAATACACCACATAGAGTGGCTGACTCTATGGATCAGAGGGCGCCCAAAAACATAGCTTCACTTTGCTGCAAAGGCGGGGGCGCATCAGCCACTCTATGTGGTATATTCTGGCTCGATGTTTATTTCTCTTTTTGATACATAAAAATGAGAGAATAACGTCTATTGTAACGTTTTTATTCATAATACTGTAAAACTTGCTCAATGCGAAATGTGTACATCGCGAATTAATGTGAACATATATTGCAGCCCTGCCAAACATAAATTGTACATATTACATTGCATAATGCGGAAACTGTCTAAAACGAAAAAAAATACTGGCACCTTGAGATGCCGAATTGAGCAAGTTTTACTGTAATTGAAAGAATAAAATTTCTATTTCGACTCTCGTTGAAAATAATTTCTCCCAAAAATCATTAAACATTTCCTCGTCTATTTATGTTCCTCATTATTTCCCCACAGCGAAAATATCCCCATGTTGGTGACATCATTCCCCAATCGGGCAACCCTGCGCGGGACCACGACTTCCATTTCCAATGGGCAAGGCCAACGCAATCTTGAATTTCTCACTATACTCTTATATATATATAAGTAATATACTCTTTGGAATTTCTTTCTAGAGGGCGTTGGCCTAGCATTCCACAGTCATAACATATTTTTGCAGGAGATTATACAGAGAAGAAAGATCTATACTTCACATGAGCTTGCCTTGGTTACATTGAAATGATTAACAATTTCTTAATATCACAATCAGCGATTAGAACTTCTTAACGTAGAAGAATTTTTTTGGCTTAGCCAAAGGTTTGTGTACTATGTGTTCCAGGGCGCACGCAGTTTTTGCGTTTTACTGCTATGTGTAAGTGGCTGGTGTGTGTTCTTGTCAGACTTAAGTCAATAGCCAAGTCGGCTTTTGTATTGCACTACGCCCTTAGAATATCAGAGGGGAGTGCTTGTCTTCTTTCCCCTTTTGTAAGAACGTGTCAAGCTGTTTTAGCGTTGCCGGAGCTTCGTCGGGTGGAAAGGCTTGATAGGCTTCGTTAAACGAAAGCCGTTTCAAGCATTGAGTGAGGGATTCGATATCAAGTTCCTTCCTCGGTACTTTCAACCGTTTCCGAATCGAAGGGCGTGCTATGAGCCGTAGATCTTTGTTCTGTACCAGCTCAAGTGTATCCTCAAAATCTCATCATGTATCTCAAAAGAGAAAATTAAATATTTCACGGAAGAGCAATTCTTGGATAACACAAGGGATTAGGACATCATGTAAAAACAAACTAATTATTTCTTTCATTTCTAAGCACCATAACGTATCTCAAGGTTTCCTCCTCTACTTTAAAAAATACAAATCATTGTTAAGAAAAGTCATACGGCAGGCTAAAATCATGAAACATGACCAGGACATTTTGAACTCAAATAATAAAACAAAAGCAATGTGGAATACAGTAAAAAATTCAACCAAATCAACTAGAAACCTTGTAGAGAATGTTGTTTTAAAAGATAACGATAGAAATGTGAACAATCCGGCAACTGTGGCTAGCCTCTTTAACCAATATTTTTCGAGAATTGTAGCCGATCTCAGTAAGGGTCTTCAGCCACAAAATTCAGCATCAGACGTTTCCCCAAAAATTTCAGGCACGATGTTTGTTTCCGAAACTTCTTCCTATGAAATTCTCAAAATAATAGGTATACTAAAAAATAAATATTCGGCCGTTTCAATGCAGTTCTCCATTTCAAACGAACAGCTCGACACTTCACTGAAAATGAACGGCGTGCCATTGACTGATGTTAAGGTAACAATATTTTTAGGTCTTTCAATTCAGTCAAACCTTAAATGGAACGTCCATTTAAATGAATTGAACACTAAATTAAGTTCTTTATGCTACGCTTTCAGAATTCTTTCAAATTCAGGCAGCCTTCACACTGCTCGTTGTGGAGATTTCTCGAATGTTCATTCCCGCCTGAGATATGGCATAATATTCTGGGGAAGTACATCTTATCTCCCAGACTTTTAGATTACAAAAACGAATTGTACGAACAATAAGTAAATCCCAACCACGTGATTCTTGTAAGCATCTCTTTATTAATCTAGGTATTTTACCATTACCTTGTCTCTTAATATAAGAATCAGTGGTTTTGTCAAAAATGCCTAACTTAAGGGCGGGAATATATTTTCAGCAAACGCCGTTGTCTATAATTACATCACTCGACGTAGTAATCACGTTTATCAGTTAACAGTATCAACAGCTCACTACAAAAAATTCACATATAATACATGTACATTATTTTACAACACCTTGCCAGATGACATTAAACGATTAAATTCGATACAAAAATTTAAGTCCCAAGTAAAATCTTTCCTGCTGCACAACTGTTTCTATACAATTAGAGACTATACTGAGCATCCAAAAGGAAAGTAATATTAATTTTTTAAATTACATTTAATGTATTATATGTCATTTGGATTGTATAATTGTAAAAAACCTGTAACAAGTATTGTACTTCTGCTCCTAGGTCAATGACCCCATCTCGATCAGGTTTTCGTCCAGTTTCCCTGATCCTCGAGTAAATGCTGAGATGGTCCCTTGTTTTGCTTCTGGACATAAATGTAACTTCAAATTAACTCCCCATAGCACGTCATACACAGTTTTTAACTGTTTTTGACCTAAATAAAGAAAGAAAGAAACAAACAAATTTTTAAAAAGGTGGTAAAATAGCGGGCTTGCGAGCCCAGAACAAGCATCGAAATTTAGTAATACATAGTGAAGAACAAGCTGGAAATGATAAATTTTATAATCAAAAAGTATCATACAGATGTTAACAGGTAAATTTCAAGATTTTATTACTCATAATCCTAAAGGAATTCCATACCTTATACGATTTTTACATAGAATAGCTCATACATTTTGGAAATCTGAAGTGCTGGAATTTTAAATTGGGTTATTAATAATTTACCAATTGAATTACATTTACCAGATTATAATTATTGTGGTCCTGGTACTGATTTAAAAACAAGATTAGAACGAGATGATAAAGGAATAAATCCATTAGATGAAGCATGTAAATATCATATTGCTTATAGAGATCAT